CGTGCACCTGGTTAGCCGAGATGCCTCTCCCTAGGGTTTACTGTCTGGTGCTTAGTAGGGAATGGGGGAATGGATCCCTATGATAGTCCCTTAAGGTCCCTTATAGCAGCCCCTATAACTCATTCCCCCATTCCCTACTAAGCACCAGACAGTTTAGGGTTATTGGATCTGGAGGCTTTGAGCTCAAGCTCAGAAGAATCGACGTTACGAAAGTATGGCTTTCCGGTGTCCGTGGCCCCAAAGATTCATGAAGGCTCAGAATACTCAGTGCTTGCTTCGGGGTTCGGGGCCTGCTAGCTTGCAGGAAGAAGCTGATTGAATTTGTTTAGACGCAAACCGGGTTTAGGGTTTAGGGTTTAGGGTAAACCCTAAACCCTAAACCCTAAACCCGCACGGGACACCTGGGCCCCGTACCCCCAGGGCCCCAATCTGCGGTCCAGCTGCCTGGCTTGTGACGGGGGGGGTTTCCATCTCATCGAGGGGTTCCCTTCCTCCCAAGAATGATACAACAAGGACCAGCAACAAACAAATGGCAGTACCGATTCAAGGATGGAGATCACAGAAGGCAAGAACAGCAGCAGAGGTACAGACAGTTGCATGATGACCCCGGATATAATTTGCGGAAATTTCAGAAGGCCGCAACGGCAACTACCAAGAATTCGGGTGCAGCTCCATGTTTGGGTAGCCAGCGTTGCTGCAGTGATAGTCAAAGCCAGTGGAACATGTGCTCCTACTGCGAGCCATGCGTAGCCTCCAACCGTCGCTTCGTCGTTGTGGTTTGGGATCCGGACAAGTGCACTCTTCGTAATTTCCAGTTGATCTGCAAACTTGGCTTTGTCTCTTGGTGGGCATTCTCATTGCATGAGTGCTTAGCCTTGTTCCCCGACAGTGCGAAGCTCTTGCGACATCAGCCTGTCCATCTACATTGCTGAGTTGCATCTTCAGCAAGCCTCCTGTCCAATCTCCAAGCCTACAGCCTCTCGATGGTCAAACACCCTTGCATCCCATTGAGGCCGAAACAACCAACAGTATAAACGCAAAGTGGAGAGTGATGCAACAGTTTGCTCAAGATTGTCCATCTTGCTATTCTGTTCCATACCTCGCAGACATCCCGGAGCGCTCCTTCGGACCATACGCGCGACACCTCCAGCAACCTGGGCTTGGTAAATGAAGATTTGCAGATCGTGACAAGCAGCCAGCTTCATGTACCAGCAACCGCGCATCCGCCACCCACCAGTGCCACCACCTCCACCACCACCACCACCACCACCACCACCACCACCGCAACCACAACAGACAACAAGGGCCAACAGCAGCACCACCACTAGAACCAGCAGCAGCAGTACCAGCAGCACCGGCTCCGGTAGCACCACCACGACCGCCGCCACCACCGCCAGCACCACCACCACGGCGCTGAATGAAAATCGATGCTACAAGAGCCGCTCCATCGCTCGTCTAGAAATCGGCGTGGGCTGCACCATCGGCCGAGGTCGTCGTCCGAAACCGCACGCGAGAACTTCTTCCGTGCGCGGGCTTTGTGCGAAAAACGGCCAGGGAGTTTCGAAGATAAGGGGGCACTGACACAGGACCAAACGTCGGCAGTGCTGCAACATGTGTGACAGGCAATCGCCCAGAGAGAAGCAATGGATGCACCATCATCAGTAACACAATCTGACAGAGCATCCAGATCCCAGACCAAGGCTAGAAAAACGAAACTGCACATTCAACTCTGATTCTGAGCCAAGGAAACGGGAACCCTAAAACCCTAAACCCTAAACCCAAAACCCTAAAACCCCAAACCCTAAACCCTAAACCTTAGGCTCCAACTCTGACTCGTCAGCGAGGCGTTCGGTGCGCTGCTCCTCAGGCGGATGCGGGTTCTCGCAAGCTTGCCTGGGACTGAGTGGCTTTAGGGTTCAGGGTTTAGGGTTTAGGGTTTAGGGTTTTAGGGTTTAGGGACTGAGTGGCTAGAGCTCAGAGAAAAGTACTGTGGCCGAAGGCTGGAAGCTCTTGCTGCCAAGAGTGGACATATCAAGAGCCGCAACACTCGCAAGCCCTGCACGCACCGCAGCACAAGCCTCCAAACTATCGAAGACAAAGAGACTCAACGGCCCGAACACGCCCCGAAGATCCTGGGAATTCTAAAGCCTACAGTGCCCTGCCCTGAACCTTAAAATCCCCAAAACCCTAGGCCCTAAGGCACAAGACGTGAGCATCTCCGGGGCTCCTCGATCTCCTCGCAAACCTCGGCCTCCGCGTCACAGCGAGGCGGCTCCGTGCGGGTCTCTGCCGACAGCGCCTAAGTGACTCCACTGCCTAATGCTTGGGGCTCATGATGGTATTATTAGTATTAGTGTGTTGCTGTTGTTACTAATATTCTGAGTATTGCTACTACTCTTACTATCCTCATTACTTTTAAGTATTGCTGCTACTAGTACTAAAGAGTCTAGGTTTTGTAGGGTTCGGTGCTTGAGGGCTTGGGGGAGATGCAGGTTTCGGACTTCCGGGTTCAGGGCGGCTCGGGCTTCAGGGCTTCAGGGCTTAGCCCTTTGGGCCTTCAGGGTTAGGGTTTAGGCTTTAGGGCTTTGGGGGTTTAGGGTTTAGGGTTTAGGGTTCAGGGTTTAGGGTTTAGGGCTTAAGGTTTGAAGCCAGGGAGACGATACAACACTCACCCCAAAGCTCATGGATAGAATGAACTGAAGCACTAACTTGAGTAGTTGCGTCCGGTGATATGCGAGCTGCTCCGATTCCACAGCCGTCTAAAAGAGATACCCTCCCCGAGCCTCGAGCGCCTGATCTTAAGGCGAAGACTTCCCGAAACCCCAAAAGGGCAGAGGAAAGGCGTCGTCCAGCTCCCCTCTGAGATTCCCGGATGCTTCAGACTTTGAGCTTCATGGCCTTGAGTCCCTGAACCTGAAAGGATAGACCTCGAGCCCCGTGACGGCGGTGGCTTCTGTCGAAGGTCCCGGAAGCAATCAATGCAGCAAGATCGAATTTTTCCGAGAGAGCCACTTGCAATCGAACATGAAGGGCCTGAAGGCAGCCGGAAGTCCATTAGAATGCACGAATGTGCCAGTCTGAATCGTAGTGGCTCTCTGCGAACGCTAGATCATGTGCGGCCGGCTTCTTTGAGCCTTAAGCACAACATCCTCCCACTGGGCTCAAGGAGTCTTGGCCAAGCTCCAGTGAGGTGAGACACGAAGAACGATCAAGATTCTACAAGAATCAGCTTCTTCTAGCTGCTACCTTTCCATATGCACTGCTCTCGAGTCGAGAAAAAAGACCGCACGCATTTCATGCAGTAAGGCTGCCCAGGTCGTGACTTGAAGGACTGACCCCCGTTTCGAACTTACCTTCATCAGCTTCGGGTTTAGGGTTTAGGATTTAGGGTTTAGGATTTAAGGTTTAGGGATTAGGGTTTAGGGGTCCTGAAGCCCTGGATGCCTCCAAAGCCCCAAGCACCCCGACCTCACAACAGGATCGGCGTGTCAGGGGCGCAAAGGCCACCGTCACAGCCGCTCTGCCCAATTGCGTAGCAGCCCTGTTCCAGCGGTCTCTAGGCTTCAGGATCTGAAGGATTGAGGCTAGGGTTTAGGGTTTAGGGTTTGGGGTTTAGGGTGTACTAATAATCGTGGTCAAGGTAATCCTTGTGATAGTGATGGTCAAAATCAGAATCATGACCGAATCATAGCCACAATCACAATATTATCTGATGTCTTAACAACCATAAAAATAAGCAGAATCACCATCAGAAGACTTAAGACTTAAGAATAGACATAATGATAACAATACTGGCAATGGCAGTAGAAATAAAGATTGGTTGCATAAAGATAAGACTCATTTAATTTTGCTTCTGGATGTTCTTGTTCTAACAGCGAGAATAAGGATATTTATAGCCACAATCACACTCGTAATCTCAATCGTAAGAGTAGCAGTAGCAGCTGCAGTACTAATCGTCGCACGATTGATGTTATTCATCATGGTCATAATTAATGACCCTGATAGCAACAACGATACTGACAAAGACAAACATGACAAGCAACAACAGCGGTACTGATAATTTCAACGATGAGCTTCACGCTTAAGGATAGTGACAACAACACTATTGCTGAGACTCTCCCGCTACCTCATACTCGTTCTCCTGCTACTGCTTTCTGCTACTGCCGCTACTAACTTACTGCGGCTGCACCTGCTACTCTGCCAAGGCTGCTTAGGCAGCCACCACTACTTCTCCTCCTTCTGTGGCTGCTCCTCCTACATCATCTCTTTCTAGAATCCAGCTCTGAATCCCTGGCACTTAGATGCAACGATTGGGACAGAGTCGCGTGTGCTGGTCGAGAGTTTAAGAAAGCCAGTTGCTTGCTGCGGGATCGGGATCCCTGCCTGGTCCGAGGGGCAGAAGTGGCTGGAAGGGCAGCTCGTGCAACATGGATTTGCTCCCGGCGGTGGGCAACCAGATGCACCTGAGTCATGCATTTACATGCCGGCAGTCGGGCTTCTGAGGGGTTTCACTCCGGAACTGCGGACACTAGGGCCAATCGTGCGAAAAATCCAAAAGCTCGGCTTCTCAAAATGAAGAAGGCAGGCCACGAACGCTGTCGTCTGCCGAACGCGTTTCTGACGCAGAAGTCAGGAGAGGGACCGGTGCTGCCACTGGCGCCACTGGCTCTGGGACAGAGTTGGAGGTGCTATTGTCCAGGGACAGGTGCATCTTCAGGAACTGGTGGTCAGACGGAAACCCTCCTGTGCTCGAGTATCCGCAGAGATTGACCCCCGGGCTCACTAGTACGTGGTCGGCCCCGTTGAAAGACTGGTCCGTAGCAGCATTGAAGAGGCCTTGCCCAAGCGTCATCATCGTCTCGTCCATGCTGCCACAGTTAAAGTCGCCGGTGAAAACCACTTTATCCTCAGGCTGCTTGTGCTTGTCGATGGCCCCCTGGTAGTTGGAAGCAGCCTTGGAACCTGCATCACCCCCGCACTGGTCCAAGGGGCCATGTGTGTTCGCAAAGAAGATGGACGTGTTCGTAGCCTTCTCCCTCAGCCGCACCCAATTCATCAGCCTGTCACCCCACTTGTCCTGCACCACATTTCTGAATAGTCCTCCCCGAAGAGATCTAGCCTATTCCACTATCACCAAATACAAGTATCGAAGACGGGAACGGCTAGCAGGAAGGAAAGCCGGTGAAATCCGTCTTCAAGAAGCGACGGCTGCGACAGGACATGCTCCGACAAACGACTCGGTGATACCTGCAAACCCTTCTCAACCAACTTGCATGCTGAGTAGTTTGATGTGTTTTAGGCTTTACGGCTACAATCTTGGATTTTGGATTTGGAACTTACGATTATTTAGGGGCTTCAGGACTGTTAGAGTCTAGGTCTATGGCTTTTGTTGAAATTTTCAGAGCTCAGAAACCTCAAACCCTAAAAACCCTAAACCCCTAAAATCCTAAAGCCTAAACCCCTANNCCCCCCCCACCCCCATCTTGTTCACTTCCGGCCTTGGCGATCCATTCACTCCCCGGTCCACCAATCTTCTGAAAGCGCTCGGTGCTCCAAACCATCGGGGCGTCGCTTCCTGGAGGGCTCAGGGCCTTCTGTAAGCTTGGAGGATCATGGGACTTAGTAAGTAATGGTTCTAACTACCTGAATTGGGGTTGTAAGTATAGTTACCCTAATAATAACCTGAGTTACTAAGTCCCATGATCCTTTAAGTAAGGAGGTTTCGGATACCTCGCGTCAAGGGGTTTAGGGCTCCTAATTAGGAAGCTTGTGGGCTTTTTTTTGTTTGAACCCTCCGAAAAAGTTTAGGGGACCTTTGGGTTTAGGGAACCTGAGGGTTTAGGGACCTTAGGGTTTAGGGTTTAGGGTTTAGGGTTTAGGGTTTAGGGTTTACGGTTTAGGCACAAAACTCAAACCCTGAAATCTCTGGGGTCCTTTCGGTGCGAAGTAGTCGAAGGCCTTGAGGTCTGCTCCCTGCAGAACCTGCTCCACGTCATCCTCAGACCGGAACAGGGGTTTGGGGTTTAGGGTTTAGGGTTTAGGGTTTAGGGTTTAGGGTTTAGGGTTTAGGGTTTAGGGTTTAGGATATGGAGTGTCGAGTTTAGGATGATGTCCCTCACTTGATTAAGGAATGTACCCTTAGATTACAGAACAGGGGTGTCTGCTCAGCTCACAGGCTGGATCCACGATTCGCTAAGTTCGGGTGCTTTGTGAGGTGCGCAAAGGCCCGAGCTTGGTTGTTCTTTAGCCTTCGTCTGTCTGGTGCTTAGTAGGGAATGGGGGAATGGATCCCTGTGATAGTCCCTTAAGGTCCCTTATAGTAGCCCCCATAACCCTAAACCCTAAACCCTAAACCCCTCAAGCCCCGAAAGCCCCTATAACCCATTCCCCCCCGTTCCCTACTAAGAAGCACCAGACAGTCGTAGCACATCGCGGCGCCATAGGCCAGACTCTAGGCTTCTCGGCTTCTCGGTTCGGCAGATATAGTATGTTATATTACATTATATTATATTATATTATATTATAGTATAGTATATTATAGTATAGTATAGTATAGTATAGTAAAGTATAGTATAGTATAGTATAGTATAGTATAGTATAGTATAGTATACTTTTTTATAATATAGTATATTAGGCAGGACAAGCCAGTATAGTTGCGGGGCAGCGGCACACTCTTGGAAGCCTGCCAGGTCGAAAGGCGCATTGTCCGCGATGGTTTTGTACCTGAACGGTGTCGGCAGTCAGCAAGAGCTTCGGCTTCTGCACCCCAGAAAGCGGCCTCATCTCAATAGTGCCTATTCCTCTATTCCACTTCCCGTCGAATCTCATCCGCCTTCCCAAACTTCGACACGCAGTTTATCCTGCCTGAGCCTCGATGTTGCAAAGCGGAAATGAACTACCATCGCACGCACTCGAACTGCAAAACTCTAAAGTTAAACGTTGAGCCTAGGAGCCCAAAACCATGACAACCTGCAGAAAAAAATTACAAGCCCACACGCGGTGCTTCGGTGCTCTGAAAGGCCCAGCCACAGCTCCTGGAAACCTTGACCACCACCAAACTGGTGGCAATTGTGGTACTCCTTCGAAGGCGGGGCGGGGCGCAAGGCTTTCAAGAGCGCGAGGCTCGAGAACTGAAGGGTTTAGGGTCTTGCCGCCTTGGTTTATGGTTGCCCACATGCATGTTTGTATGCATCTATGCATCTATGCATCTATGCACGTATGCATGCTTGCATGTGTGCATGTATATAAGCATGCGTGCATGTAAGCATATAGGTAGGGCAGGCCGCTGTATGCATGTCAGTGTGCGCCCATGTATGTATGCATGCACGAATGTATACATGCATGTATGTATGTGCGCATGTGAGTAAGTGTGAAGTGTGCGTTCGTGTATGTGTATGTCGTATGTCTCTGTGTATATGAGTATGTGTGCATATGTGTGCACATGTGCGTGTATGCATGCATGTGAGTATGCAACGTAAGTGGTTTACATGATGTATGCAATGCATTTTATGTATGAAACGTATGTTCTGTATGCAATGTCTGTAGTATATGTAATGTAGGTAATGTATGCCGTGTAGTTAAGGAATGTAATGTATGCAATGTATGTAATGAAAGTGTGATGTTTGTAGTGATGTAGCTCATGTGATGTAGTGTATGGTTGGATGGACGGATAGATGGATAGATGCATGAATCATTCTTCTGACGCAGCAGCACGCTCTGATCGATGCAGACAAGTCTCGTTGGACACACACCACCAGTACAGATTGTAGGTGGCAACCGTCACTTTGGAGCCCGAGCACCCCATGGCGCAAAAGCAACCGGAATGCAAGAAGTGACTCCCTCCTGTTCTCCTCATGATCCTGGTCGTGAGTTTCCATGCCGTACCCTGAAGGTGCTGCACAACGAACAGAAGTCGGCAAACTCTGAAGCGTCCAACTGAATCTGTCCAGGAGCGTCCAAGAAACACAGAGCCGGAAAGGCACAGCATAACAGCATTTAGTAATCCCAGTTCAGAAGGTAAATTTGGGGACCAGGAATACTGTATCGAGTTCCATGGGTGTGGATTCACTTCATGGACACTGCTCTCCAGTTGTTCAACATCTGACATGTGACTTCCTGCGGACGGCAACTACAGAGCTCCAGCTTCAAATCCACAACAAGATTCACCCTAAACCCTAAACCCTAAACCCTAAACCCTAAACCCTAAACCCTAAACCCTAAGCCGATCACATCTGCAGCAAGGGCACCGTCGGGCGAGACCTCTCAACAGCAGCTCTCCCAAAAAGCTTGGGGTCCATGGGCGCATGCGCTGCGATGTCGAATGCTTCAACGAGGCTTTCAGGGCTTTCACTGACTTGCCATGAGACCATGAACCACAGACATCTGACGATGACGCGGATAAGAATTGGCCCCACATCAGCCGCTTGCGAGTACGGCCAAACACCACGTCACTGGCGGGATGCTGCAGACGAAGGATACCAGTCCCCAGTGGAACCTCTGTTAGAACCGAAGCACCGAAACAAACATCTTTGCATTCGCCCAGCCTTCGGTAGCTGGCCAGCGCAGGTACGGCTGCACCACCAAGGAGGACCTGCGAAAAGCGAGAAAAACCTCTGCTTTGCCTTTTGCTTTAGGGTTTAGGATTTAGGGTTTAGGGTTTAGGGTTTAGGGTTTTCGTCCATGTCTCAGACTTCGCTTCGGGCCGGAATCGAGTGCATCCTGGTCTCGAGCCTTTCAACCCATGACGGCCTCGAAGAAAAGCCCCCATGACACGCCACAAATCCCGAAAAAGATCCCAAAGAATGGAACCTCAGACTCCCAGACCCCCAGCTGCCCATACCCGCACCGACACCAGCGCCCGTGGCGAGCACGCGCTGCGTGGTGGGTCACTGTGCCGCGCAGGCACCGGCAGAGGGGAATTCAATGACGGAGACAGGGCGGCAATCATGGCTGACAAATGGCTGACAAAGGTGCGGAGGGAGAAGCTTTGAAGAGACTCTTCACACTGACTTTGGAGTCGTGTTTCAAGCCTGCGAGGAAGAACCATCTGGGGGGCAAGCTGTGTCAAATGATTGGTGCAGAAGCAGGCGCTACTCTACGTGGCCGCCTTCGTCCATACAGGGGCTGCAGTCATGCGGAGCATGTGATCATGTCGTGGCTCAAGCTGCTCTGAGCCCACAGCACAGAAATCTGTTTGTCGACTCGTACCCTGCAGTGCCCCCAAGGGCTTGGGCACTGGGGGTCTGAGACGCTTCGGGCTGCTGAGCTCAGCGCTCGAAAGGATTGGGACAAGAGGGAATCTCCCTAGCAATTGCAGCATGCGTAGAGGCAAAGAAAATGCCCCACTATCTTTCAGACGAAACAGGACATCTCGCTGCGAACCGCGTGCCATAGTCGTGATTATGCTGGGCGTGTGAGGTCTTGAAGTTGAGAAATGCAGGGTGTGGGGGTCACTTTTGGTGGAGGTTTGCCCTTTGGAGGCGCGCGTAGAGAGGCATTATTTCCTTCGAGGCCTGGGGCCCAGTCAGGAAACCCCGGAGTGCAAAGCGCAAGGCAAGGAAAGCCGAAGCCTGCTTCCGGGAGAGCTCCGAGAGTGCGCTCCTTACATCGGTCTCCGGCAACGGGGGCGTAGCAGAGGACTTTTCAATCTGCTCTGCATATGGATCTGAGCACCTAAACCCTCAACCCTCAACCCTCAACCCTAAACCGGCAAGTGTGTCGGTACAGGTAAGCCTTCGTCAAAGCCGAGCTTCGTATCATACCACCATTACGAAGCCCTAAGTCACCCGACAGCTCGAAGCCCTCCAAAATCCTCGGTGACCCGAGCTCCGCACTGCAGGTCCAGCTTTAGCTGGACATTCTGGGCCTCGGGGGACGACGAGAAGGTCTCAAGCGCTGCAGGTAAATGGGACGTGGTGTGCGGGATGAAGGGATTGGGATGCAGGGCTGGGGATTGGAGTGGCCCACATCGAAGAGTGTCACGAGGTGGCAGCCGAACCTGAACGAACTTCTACGGCTGAGCTTTGCGAGGCGAACCACTGGGCACTTGGCCAGCACAGACTCGTAGGAGGCGGGGTCAGCACCTATGCAGGCTCTTTGCAGGACAACACGGCCGTGCACGTGCCGTTTCTTGGATCGCAGCAGCACACACGGGGGTCGCCAAACACAAACTATGCGCTGGAAAGGTACCAGTGACAAATGACTTGAATGCAAGTCGATCTTTCCACCCCCCTAGTTCGGCGAGCACGCAAGTTTAAGTGCTAGCTCTATACCCCCAAACCGCCGGCCCTGAGCACCAGTCTGCACTAAATGAAAAAAGAAGTGCTGTCACGCCATGGTCAATGATCCCGCGAAGTGAGGGGCATCCCTAAACCCAAAACCCTAAACCCTAAACCCAAAAGGCTGAACAGAAAACCAGGGAAGGGCGCCTTCCATCAGCTCCGCCCAGGCCACGTGGGGCCCCCCAGTCCCGAAGGGGCACTCACCGAAGGCTTCTTCTACTCGCGCTGCAAGGCTCCAGTAAGGAGTCTTAGAGGGTTTAGGGTTTAGGGTTTAGGGTTTAGGGTTTAGGGCTTAGGGTTTAGGGTTTAGGGTTTAGGCCTTTTTTGTTTGTTGAGAGCTTTTTGGGGGTCTTTTGGGTTGAAGGGTCTAGGGGTTTAGGGATTTAGGACGCCAAAGCCCCCTTCAGACTACAAGCCCAAGTAAGGACACGCTTTTCTGGGGCGCCTAGTTGCTGAAGTGCTCGTCTCTCCACCATGTGACAGACTGTATACATGGCTCGGGCAACATGTCAATGCGGAAACAAGGTATTGCATCCAATACACGGCGGAGTTAAGGAGTCCAAATTCAGAGAGCAGGAGTATGCTAGAGTATGCCTTTGGGTGCCTGAAGCCGCACCCTGCCTCTCACCGAAGTCTAGTCTCTACCCACAAACATCTCTAACCACACGGCAGTCTAGAGGGCACCAGAATCACTGGATGGCTAGAAGCATTGCACCCAAAGCACCTCTTGCGTGTTTCAAGCGAAGCCGCAAAATCCGAATGTTCCTGGTGACCGCATCCGAGCTCTTTTCCCCCTTCTCTGCTAAGGAATAGCAGTATTGAGTTTGACGTCGAGCAGGTCTCACCCTAGCTTGTCACCTTCGGCGACACATAAGACCCTGCACGGTCGTCGTGCCAAGAAGCAGCGGCAACGGAGCCAAGCCGCGCCCCTCTTCCGGCAACAGCCCAGGCCGTACAGCATGCGATCGAAGACACAGTAAACCGCTCCAACCATTCAACTGCCCGACCCACAAAAACCATCAAACCTCTAAACTCTTCAGATACAGATGTACGGCCAAGAGACTCGGAGTCAGAAAGTTGATTCTGCTTTGCCAGTTGGCAACACGAACCACTACGGCAAGCTAAAACAATTGATTCTGCTTTGCCATGTGGCGACACGAACCACTATGGCAAGCTAAAGCAAAAACTGGCTCTTAACTGGGAGTGTCACACTGAGCCCCAACCGTCTACCTTGCCTTGCCCACCATCACTCTTGGAGTCTTGCGTTCAAGCGAACGAAAACAACGCTCCCAGCTCCACTAAGGACCAGTGGCGCTCGGGCACGGTCCTTCGGAAAGGCCCCAGAGCCTTTGCCAGGAACGACTACTAAACGTTGCGACATAGCTCCACACACCATAAGCTTATGAGAATTTGGGGTTCGCTCTTTACTGCCCTGGAGGCATGTCGACGCTCTACGAAAAATTTCAAATTACGGGCTGACCTCGGCTCACAAGGAGCTCTTCTCCTCCTCCTTGGGCTGCTCCACCTTCTCCGGCTTGCTGACCTGTCTAAAATAACCGGAGGAAGGCAAGGTTGCTCTTCCTCCTAAACCCGGAATTGATGAAATCAACGACTCTTCGAGAAGCCGGGGACTCAACGTGCCGAGCCGAAGATTCAGAAGTCTGCTAACCAGATGCATCCGCAACATCGAACCCGCATCCAAAAGTCAAAGGGCTACTATAATTTTTTTGGGGTTCCTTATTATAAAAAAAGTATAATGGGCCCCAAAACCTTATTCTATTCTAGTTATTAAGGCCATGGAGATGGGGTCGTCATGCTGCGTCTGGCTGGCTCGGTCTCCTGCTCTTGTCATTTCGCCTTGCCACCCTCCATAAAGGCTCAGTCCGAGAACCACCAAGCTCACCCCCGGTCATACGCACTACAACTCCTCCCAGAACTGCGTGGCATCCTGCATGCACCATCGAACCTCCCGACTTGACTCAGGCACCGCACGGTTTGCCGGCCTCCTCGGCGGCCTCCTTCTTGGCTTGGGTTGTGGGCCCGGAGTGCGGGGCTAAGACTTTTAGGGTTGTGGCTCAAGCACGCACAGTCCTGCTGTTGTCTACGATGACGATGATGATTTCGACTAGAACGAAGAGGTTCATGGCAATGACAAAAAACCGAAGATGTGTTGACGGATGCAGTTGCACTGTTCATGATGCTGCCAGCAGATGTAGTCTAAGAAGCAGCAAAGAAGTGCAGTGTCGTGCTCGGGAGGCGCCTTCGTTGGCTCCAGGTTCAAGAGGTCGGGCTTCGCCGGCTCCGGCTCCTCCGCCTGCCGCAGGGCCCGGAGGGCCCGGAGGGTCCGGAGCTCCAAAGCTGTTCCAAATTGGGGGAATTTCGCATTCTCGACACCTTGCCTCATCGGGGTCCTCGGCGGGGTGGCCGTCCAGCTGCTTCAGCTCCTCCTCAGTGAACATCCAGCACATGGCCTTGCCAGGAGCAGCTTGAAGCACAAGACTCGGAGGCAAGAACTGACAGCAATCTAGAAATCGTATCCTTGGCTTGGTCTCTCTCTGGGACAGCGCTTCATGCTTGTTAAGCCAAGAGCTTCGGACCTGCCACTTGGAGACGTTCCCAGCTATGTGCCGACGGCTTTTTCCGGGTGTTATACGGATCTCGCATTGCCACGCAGCGGCCTGTGCTTCCCTCGGATTCCACGCTGTCCTACCCTTTGCTCCTCCTCCACCCCAGGTCTTGGGCTGATCGCGCTTCGGGGTTCAGCCCTTTATCTCACGATGCCCACTGCACCTTGCGGATGATGGCCAGGGATGCCATGAAGAAGGGGAAGACCACGGCAGTCTCCTGGCATCGAAGGCGCAGCGGCTGCAGCAGTCCTGCGAAAACGTCACCAGGAACCCTCGCGTCGCATGGGTCCTTGATCTCCTTGAGGCCATAGAGGATAGCCAGGCAGATGAACTGCAGACACATCGGTTGGGGTTTCGAGTGAAGGTTCGGGGATTCGGGATGGGAGGTTCGCACAGACAACGCTGCACTGCCCAGCCCAACAGCCATGGGGATGACTTCGCTGCTGGAGGCTTTGCAGGACGAAGCTTTCGAGGGAGTTGTTTGTTTCTCTGTCATAGGACAGATCTAGGAGAGGAGCCTTCGCATAACATGAAACCTCCTTGAACGAACCGAAAGCTGCGGCCCCCGGCCGGAATCCCGAAACATAGCC